GGGCACAGACCATGAAATCGCATTTCCCAACGAGTATGAAGTCCACAGCACACATTGGAGACATCGTTGTGACCAGAATTACAATGGGGAAACGATCCGAGCACAAACCATGAAATCGCGGTTCCCAACGAGTATGACGTCCAGAGCGCGCATTGTAGAAAGTTCAGAGCTGACATTCACGACATCATTGCGACCAGAACTATAATGGGGGAACGATCCGGGCACAGACCGGGCACAGACCTTGGAATCGCATTTCCCAATGAGTATGCGGTCCGGACCGCACATTGGCGACATCCTTGTGACCAGAATTATAATGGTGCGCCCAGCCGCGCTCAGACAAAATGTACGTTTCACCACACGTTCGTGCACTCGACACGCACGATCTCCGCAGAGGGTTGCTCGAGGGCAAACGCGATTCGCGTCTCACCACACGCGCGCGCGATCGATGGCCACGATTCCACGAGAGGGTTGCGTTTCGTAAGACCTGCTCGCACCGCCCCGCCGCCTAAAGAGAAGAATAAAGAAGAAGTTGGGTAGGTGAAGTTGGGTAGGTGTCTTAAGGAAGATGTCTACACCTACCTATCTTCACCTACCTATCTTCACCTACCTATCTACACCTACCTACCTACACCTACCTGTCTATACCCACTTATCAATACCTACCTATCAATATCTACTTCTGATGTACTTTGATATTGTTGATCTGATACTTCTACTTCATATGTTATGTTGTGATGTGATATTATTTTATCACATGATATGAGATGATATGATCTGACATTGATGTGATGTGATATGATATTAAAACATGATATGATATGATGTGTTATGACATTGATGTGATGTGATATGATATTATAACCTGATATGATATAATATGATATGATATGAGATTAATAACCTATGAGGTGATGATTAGATGATGATGTTGTGAGGGTGAAGTAGGAGAAAGTTAGTAAAGAATATGAAGTAAGGAAGGTGAAGTAGGATAAAGAGAGTCAGGAAGAGAGAGTGGGGAAGATGAAGTAAGAGAAAGAGAGTAAGGAAGAGAGAGTGGGGAAGATGAAGTAAGAGAAAGAGATTAAGGAAGATGAAATAGGCAGCAGTGCTTAAGGAAAAACCCTTCGCAGGTGCTTTCGGGAAAAAGGATGCCACATGCCATAGACATGGTATGTACTTTTTTGGGGGGAACTCCCCGGAAGAAAAACCAGAAACCGTACCCGCGTACCCAGATCTCCAATGCCCAGCTTTTTCTCTTTTTTCACCGTGGGCGCCTCACCACCCAGCTGGTAGGTCTTGCAAAAGCGCGTCAAATGCTGCAAGACATGGGCATCGATCCTACACGTCGGTCGACCCAAGGCCACCCGGGAACGGCACGAATCGAGACGAATACCAACACAGCACGACTGTCATCAAATCAACAACACGTGCAAACAGAAGGAAACGACGAATACCAATTCTGCAACCAACCTTGGGATGTGTCTGAATGGAACTCCTCAATTTCAGCCCAAAACTTAATTAAACGGCTTTGCATCTACATACTCGATCCAAAATGGTGAACACAAAGAAGACACACACGTGATAACTCAAGAAAAAGCGTTGCACGAAAGACACGGGGAGGTCATCAAGGTCATCCAAAGATCGTCACAAAATGAGGGACGTCCGTTCGTGCGGGCCTGTGCAGGCGGGGGACTCGCCTAGGTTTCCGCCACTCCAAACAGAGCTTCGTGTGATGAACAACTGCTGTAAACGGTCGGGTCCTGACCATAAAGAGCCGATTTCCCTGGTAGAACCTGAGCAAGCCGGGCCAAGCGCAGCGGAGAGCGCAGCGCACCAAAGATCCCTTACTAAAAGGACAAAGCTTGGTTCTTAGAGTTTCTGTTGGCAATTTGCTTTTTTTTCCTGGGGTGTAAATACTGCAAAACGCTAAGTCAGTTGGTCTCTGCGTGAATCGGGATCACCTCGATTCTTCAGGCGGTGTCGCTGGGTGTCCCGAGAGCGACTGAGTCGGTTCATCTCCAACGGGGGACCAGCCACTCAGCCATGGTGTTGGATAAGCAGGTATTGTCTGGTATTGTGCTGCGTCAGCAATATGTCCATAAGGTATGATGTTTCACTGTCATGCTGTTCACATTACATCGTTCGAACTTAAAAGAAGAGTCCCATGAAAGGTCGAGGTCACCCATTCTTCACCGTGCATTGCGGCCAAGTCTCAAAGCATCTTCCTTTGTTCGCGGGGGCCATGGCCTGTTCACAGCCTTTGCGGGCACTGGCATTGGTCTTGGGGGTGGGGCTGCCTGTGCTGGAGGCACGCCTGGCACTGGCCCAGGGCGCTTTGGCATGGGTACTGGACCTGGGGGCACTGGAAAGCCGGGCATGCCAAAGGGCGGTGGCCAGAATCCAAATGGGCCTGGAGTTGGTGTGGGGAAACTGTTGGGGAAACTGTTCGGCCAGCTGGAGAAGCTTCCAGCTGGAGGTTGCCATGGCTTAGATTCGCCATGCTTCGAAAACGCCTTCGAGTTCAAAAGGTCGTCTTCTTGAAGGCGTTCCTTTTCTTTTTGATTCTGCTTTTCTGCCTCCTCCTTTTCCTGGGCTTCTGCCTTCTCTTCCGCTTCCTTCCGCTTTCGCTCGATCTCAGCCTCCTCCATTCTCTTCAGCTCCTCCTCGCTGCGCACGCGCAGGTGCGCGGAGCGCACGGCCAGCTCCACAAGCTCAGACTTCTCGGCCAGGGAGGCAGGGATGCGCACGGCACGGAGGCGGAGGAACTGCTTGAGCTCCTTGACGCTCATCCTCATCAGCTCCTCCTCCTCCACAGGGGCCGCTTCAGGGGCCGCTTCAGCGGCCGCTTCAGCGGCCTCTTCATCGGCCGTTTGAGGTTGGGCCTCTTCGGGCGAAGGCGGTTCCTCCAAGTCCTAGGCAAAGCGACAAGGGAACTCATAGATGTGAATAGTGTGTGTGTGTGTGTATCTATATATATTTTTTTGTCCTGGGAAAGGCTAGGCAGGTTCTGTCAATCACTCCCCCAGCCGCCCCCATCGAAAGCGAAAGCCTTCTGAATCTGGATCCTCTCGTTCAGCTCTTCTTCATTCCCAGAGATCCGTTCCTCTGCTGCCTCCTCTGCCATCTCTTCATCCGATTTCTCCTGCGGCCGGCAGCACAAACTGCCTACACACCCAACAGTTCAGAAGTCATGCGCTTCACCTCCCCTACCCCAGTCTCACTCACCCTGTATTCTGCCTGAATAGCCTCAGCGATGACATCAATATCATCAGCTTCATCCAATCCAGCGCCCGTCTGCCCTTCTTCACCTGTCTTTCCAGGAATGTTGAAATGCGAACTATAATGCAGAAAAAGAGAAACTCCCACTTGTGCTACAACTTCTGAGTTCTAAGTCGCTTCACAAAGTAGGACTAGAGTCAAGCTCAACAGGGTCTTCTTTCCCTGCCGATTATCCCAAGCCCGTTCCCTTGGCTGTGGTTTCCCTAGATATAGTAGGGACAGCACAGTAATCTCGTTGATGCCCGTCACCTTACGAGAGTCATAGTTACTAGTTACTCCCCGTTGGCCCACGTTTGATTGAATTTCAGCACTTTGACATTCGCACTGAGCAGAAATCACCATGCACCAGCAACTTCGCCATCGCAATGCTTTGTTTTTACCGAGCAGTCAGATTTCCTGATGTCTCAAATTGGAAGGACAGAAGCCAATCAATCCCTTTCTTTAGCTGGCAGTTTTGAGGCCAAATGAACAAATAAAATATCACGTCCGGGACTGCAACCTAGACTCATCTAGACTCTGCTTTTGAAAGTTTTGTACCTCAATGACAAATAGTTAGTTTCTATCTTTGGAGCCCAAAAAAGGAAACCGCATCTGCTCCAGTTGACCAAACAAAGATCGAATAAGATCGAGCTGTTCTTCGAGACCGGCCTTTCCCGAGGATGCGATGGATCATTTGACCAGGCATAAATTGCTCCTCCGTGACCTGCTCTTCTTGTCGCTCCTCCTTGAGCTCGTCGACCTCTGCCAAGACCTCCGATGTGAACAAAGAATGCGTTCGCCTCTAGTCAAACCAAATCTTAAGCTTCAGCTTCTTCCATCCACATATCTGATTTTAGCATATTTTAGCGATGCTTCTTGCACATCGGACCCCTGATGTGAGGGAAAACATCTTCGGAACTGCGTTCGCATGGCGTTCGCGATCCTGGCCACTTCGCGATTCGACCTCCGATCTCCGGTCCGTCAGGTTCTCATCGTTCGGATCCAAAGCCCGGAACTCCGTCCGTGACACCACTGGGGGCATGTTCAATCCGGAAGAGCCCCTGGTTGGGTAGACCGTCCCGAAGCGAACCCGGTTGGAACGCCTGGTTCCGGTCTTCCGATTTGAGCACACCCGTCGTTCGGCTGCAAGGTCATTGGAAATCCGAACAATCTGCCAATCCAGATGGTTTGAAGCGTGTCCTGAGTGGTCCTTTCGCAGCCCACATCTGAGCTCCGCACCAAGTTCTTGGGAAGCAAAGCCTTGATACCAACCTGAGACAATACCAACAAGAGCAGCAAGCCCGAATCTACAATATCGTGCTCTCAAACAGCTTGACTCGTCTCCTTTCGGAATCAACACACCCAAGGCCAGAGCCGAAAGAATCTTGGGAAGGCGACCCTCCATGATTTGAAACACAGCAGCGTTGAAAAGACGGACCCCATAGACTGTATCCTATTGAAGACCCTCATCCAAACTCACACGTGTTCCCACCCATGGGCGCCACATGTTTCAGCGCCTCTCCGAGGTCCACATGCCAGTGACCTGTGTCCAAAGACTTCAGCAGCTTGCCCGTCTGGCGTCCGAAAAGCATGTCGACGGTCGAGGGTGGGCGAAAAAAAAGAAAGCACCGATGCTCTTTTTGCCCGCTCCCGCGCCCTCACTACTTGTTTAATTATAAGTAGGCACCTACTTAAGAAGTAGCTAGTACCTTGCTACCTACTGACGCAGGATATATAAATCACGCACTATTCATTTGGTTCCTAGATTTTTAGGGATACTCAAGCACTGACCTCACCCTTGCGATGCGAGAACGCGTCACATGTTTGTGGATGTTAGACCATTCAACAATGGCTTTTTCAGAGTGTACAGAGTGTGCTAAAAGCAAGATAAATCCAGAAAAGGAAGACCTCAAATGTTTGGGCTCATGATGTTCACATCTCCCAGACCAATCTTGTTCCAAGCTCTCAAGTGTGCCAGACATGCCAGCCCATTCAATGACACTGCATTCTGCAAGTTCACCAGCCGCACAGTCTGGCCAACCCGCCAGTCCTGGCATGTTGGAAGAACCGCCCGCCGTGTTACACGTGCCACTCGTGTGTGGCCCCACCACCTTGTCAGCCTGAGAAACGAATTAGGGATGAACCTGTGTTCATCTTCTTCTCCATATCATGTTCACAGCTCGTATAGGACTCCTATGAAATGTCCGAAAGGGCTCAAACACCTATGAGTACTCAACAAGTCGTCCTCGAATGAGAAAGAATTCGAACCCAAAGGGTGGATGAGCCGAACCCGGATACATTGCCAATGCCCATCCTTTTCCACATCTCAGTTTCGGAGTTGGAAAGAACACACCCATCCAATCGCCGGAGTTCAGGTCCGGAGCGTCGTCCTAGAAATAACTCTCACCAAAAGGACCATCCTGCAACCCGAAGAACCACGGGGTCGTACAGGAAGACCATCTCATCCCAAGGGTCCAAGGGTTGTTCAGACTACATGGGACCTATCGACCTATCCTGCGTACGTCTTGCACGAGTGTCTGTTCTATCTTGCATCTTCCTTCCCACACAAAAAGTGATCTTGGAGGTTTCAGATGCTCGACCACAACATCCACAAACCAAAAAATATCAAAAAACGCCAGAGTTCCGCTTCGCCGCTTGGACCCGCGTTCCGAACTCGGTTGGAAGCCGCGTTCCGAACTCGCCTCGGGATCCATCCAACGACTCCGGCGCCCCACGGCGCCGAGGGTCTCGCCATCAAACGCCACGCATTCGGACGCTGCGTCTGCGATGCGCGATGCGCCGCACGGAGCACTGCTTCTGAACAGGTCTTCCGTCTTTGTTCCTGCATCTTGTGGTTTTGAAACCGAAGAATGATTTGGATGAAAGACATGAAACAGGATCTATATTTTTTGTAGAAGAGCAGAAGTGCCGAAGTAACAATGCCAATTAATGCTGAAATTCATGCCTCCCATCCTACTATGATGTTTCTTCACATTGAGCACAGCTGCGAAAACGGGCGAAGCTTCCACCACTGGATCAGCCAAACACTGAATCCAAAGCCCTCGGACAACTCCGCCACCGAGCCACCGAGCTGCCGACACCGCCGGAAGCTTCCGTCTTTTCCCGGCGCCCGTAACCGGCCGTTTCGGCCGCGTTCACCGTCGTCGGCGCCTTGGGGGGAGAGGTTCGTGGTTGGTCGGTGCGAAGGACCTTCTGTGTGTGACGTTTAGAAGAAAGACCCACCGCAAACATCCGGATTCTGACAGAAAACCCCTACAAAACCAGACCTTTTTATGGTGCAAGTCCTCAGCCACATCATCCAGATGGCATTTGTAAAATTCCCCCTCTACCTTCTAGACCCGGAAAAAGTTAGGATCTTTGAAAACCACTCGAAATCCCTTCGCGGTCGTATAATACTCTTGGCATAGGCAGTCGCTGCATCTCAATCTCACTAAGAACTGGACCGTCGCCTCCCACTTCTTGACCTCTTCGGCGGGAACGGTCGCAACCGGGGACCGTTCCACTGTTCCACCGAAACTTCCAATCAAGGGTCCGAAGGTGGTCTGAGGTAGGGTGCAATCCCAGCTCTTTAGAACTTCGTAGGGCATGGCCACGCCCGTTCCTTGCCAAAAGCGCTTTTGGTGATTGTGCTGGCAGGGAGTGGAAGCACTTTTTATGGGCGTTGTCGGTTCCATGGCTGCAGTCCAGCCCGTGCCGATGCTGAGCTGAGTGGCCCCCCTACCACTGGACTACTTGGTTCCCCTGGCCAGGCATTTAGCTGCCAAGCTGACTGACTTGGACACCCCACTTGACACTTTGTTGAGGGGCCGTCGAGCAGTTTAAAATTTTGTTTCCTTCAGCTTTGATGCGTCCCCGAGCTGAAGAAGGATCTATGCGTCGGGAGAAGGTTGACTTCTTGCTGGACTACCTACCCAGTCCCAGTCAGTCCCAGTCCCAGTCAGTTTGGATTACCTGCCCTGTCACTGATTACCTACCCAGTCGTACCTACCCAGTTGCAGTCAGTGGGTCAATAAAAGTACCTACCCAGTCCAGTCAGGTGGGAGCACCGACACAGTGCCACTCAGTGGGATTGCCCTTTGCTGATCCATGATCTTCAAATGTTGGCCTGCATGAAGGATCTGCTACTCCAGCCCGTGGTGGTGGACAAAGGTGCGGCGTTTGCTGGTGTCAGCGAGACCGTTTGGGCACTAACCTCACGTTAGTCTAGACTTTCAGTAGAGGTCAGAGCTGGGGCCACCTCAAGCAAAGTCCAAAGCCTTCCTCCAAGTAACTTCGAGCAAGCCAGGGCCCTGAAGACCATTTTGCCAGAGAGCGAGAGCTTTTTGCTTCAAACTAAAGGAAGAGGTGCTGCTGCAAGATGTCCAAGTTGCCCACACCACCAGCAGAGAAGCATGAGCGTCCAGGACTTCTTCCCGGAGGCGCGGCTGGAAGGGTTCCTTGCACGGTGTGTCGGAGACATTGGACTCAGTCACGCCACCCCGCGCGCAGATGGCGATCAAACTCTTGCACTGTCAAGCTGGATGCCTTTGTATGCAGGAAGCACTGATAAGAGGCAAGTGGGGCGGCGCACTGACTGGCACCGATTGAATTTCAGACAAGATCACGCGATCTTTCTTGAATATGTTTGGCCAAAGTTGCAGACAAGCCCACCTCAACGTGTCGGAGAAGGATTGTTTCTGCGCCATCCAAAAGATCCCAATCAAAAGGTTTGACATGGCTGGGCAACCAAAAAGAAAGTCAAAATGGGGTTAGCAGGCTACCCAAAATTTTCGGTTGGCCCTGTGGCTCAGTCTTGAGCCAAAATGGTTCACATTTTGGCTAATGAAATGTATTCAGTAAACATTACATGCTTTCCACATGCTCCAGGCACGTATAAGACGGACCCTTCTGAACACGGCTTCGCCGGCGGTTGGCTTCGCCGCTTCGCCTTGCATCTTCGGACTCCTCTCGAAAGGAGGCACCCTGGCAAGGGCGAGAAAACAATGGAGAGGCGGCAGTTTCTGCTACGCTGTGGATGAACAGTTTCATCATGGTTCGCAACAACTGGGATGGATTCCTTAGCCACAACCCTTCGAGGTTGCCTTTGACCCATAATCACATGAACAATTTCCATACTGGCTCAGTCGCTAGACGTCGCTGAAACTCTATCTTTCGCAGCATTTTGGCTTGCGAGTCGTGTCCCCAAACGGAAGATGCTCTTCTAATCCGAGGACTTCCATGGTCTTTGGATGTCTTTGGATTCTTTTTCGATCTTTTTCGGGTCCTTTTTGTTGAAGTGAAAAAGCACTGCCAGTTCCGCGGCCAGTTCGCACCTGCCAGTGGCTGGGCGGTTCACCGAAGTTGGGCCTGGCACCAGCCCAAGTGCCAGGTGGAAGCCTCGCCTGGGCGGGTGACCCGTTTTGCGGCGGCCGACTGGGCGTCGTTTGGGCGAAGCGGAGAAGAGCTGGCCTCCTCGCCCGGGGGATAGCCGTAGGCTGGATGATAGCCATATGGTGCCGGAGGACCAAACCTGAAAAAGGTGCCAGCGGCGGCACGAGTCTCGGACGAGTCGGCGGGTTGGCGCAGCCGGTGTTCCTCTCAACTTGATGAAGTGACAGGGGTTAGCACTCCAAATCCGTGAGTCTGCCACTGAAGACTTCAGCTTTGCGGTTATTCAGGTGTACCGTGTACCTTCCAAAACAAAAGGTTTCCAGACTGCCAGGCTTGCGCCCTCTTGTCCTCTTCAACCTGCTTCTCCGCCACCCCCTCTTCTCAACCAAGTCTAAGTGCTCCGGCATTGGCTGGAAGAACCCTCCCGGATACCTCAAACGACGCGCCCCCCCGGAAAAACAAGCACCTCCACATGCCTCCACCCTAGTAGCGATGGCCTCCAACCTAGTAGGAATGGCCTCCAACCTGGTAGCCATGGCCTCCAACCTACTACTGTAGCTGCTTGCTCCACTGCCCCAGACCCGGCCACTCCTCTCGGCGCCCGCACGGAGGACGCGTCCGCCACTCCGGGGGACCATCGCGAGGCCTCGGACGCCTGGAAGGTCGAAGAAAGAAAGCGAAAGGAGCCCCCAGTCCTTTTGATGGGGATGGGATTGGATGTTCCAGTTTCATCCCCTATCTACTTGAGATTCTGAAAAAATGCCTTGAGCTTGGGGAAGATGCATAGCTTCGACTCGAACTGTAACTGCGAAAACCAAGGTGTCCAACCGTTCAACCCCTCGTTGATCTACATAATCATTAACGTGTTTGTTTTCTTGAAGCCGTGCCTTGTTGTACTAATCGAGCTGCAGAATGGGTATGAGTTGAGCCAGCGTGACATGCCTTCTTGCGCAGAGTCGCCTCCTCTCGCGAGGGCTCTCGGAGCGCTCATCACCATCAACTCCCTGAGCACTGGGAACATGAAGAGGCCAAAGAAAGGCAAGACCAAACCTGATGATGCTTCCATCCATCCGTATGTTGAATTGAAAAAAGGCTGCAACACGATTAGCAACCCACTTCGTGCCCTCTCCGTGACCAACTGATTTGGCAGAATCTTCCCAGCCCAGCGCTTCTGTCATCGCAGCGAGGAGCGAAGAGGAGCTGGAAGCCAGGGCCTTCGAGAGCATTTGATCATTAAAAGAACAATTTGACTCGTTCATCCTGAGTAAAACAATGGTTTTTTCGGGATTTCCGGCGATGAAATCATCATATTTCCAGTTGGCCCTGACCATCCGGACGGGTCTTACGAAAACCGGCCTTCACAGCTACCGCTGAACCCGTGCGACTCGGTCTCACCCGACCGCCTTTCCGACCGCCACCGGCGTGGAGGTGGGGAGGTGCACCTGCACACAACCCGAGACCAACGAGAACCCTGAGAACAACGCGTTGAAAAAAACGATACATTCAAACGATGTCAGAGCTGAGTCCGATGCATTTCCTTACTGAAACATCCCATTTGGAATTAAGTGAGGTAGTCATGGCAATCGAATATAGATGCAAATCAGAACTGCACCACTTCCATGAATAAAAGACATCTATAGAATCAGAATACATGCGCCAAAAGAACAGTGCAGCCTTCATAGAATTTGCGCATGCATACATAAATCGCACCAATTTTCAAGTCCAAATTCGCCCCTGAATCAGAAATCAATCCTACTGACTGTATGTCTACTTTTCCCTAAAATGGTCCCTGAAAACGCGTGGACAGCACTCCAGGAACTCGCCCCCGCTGCAAAACGCGTCAGGACGATGCGGCGTTCTATACAAGTAAAATGATGCGGGACTTAAAACAAGTTGGGAAGTCCAATTTCAGGATCAGCAAACTGTCAACATCCCAGCTGGCAAGTCGTTGAACCACCCAAGCTTCTGCAAAGCCCCTCCGGTGATTTTGGGGGGAAACCAAGGGGGGCAATGTTTAGCTTACCTATTCCAGAGTTTGCCACTTGTATGCTTCAATTCTATCAGTTTGAGGATTCAGTTTCGAGCTATGCGCTCATAAAATCAAGCGACCGACCGAATGCCATCAAGGCATCGTTGAGGCCCAGTATTTCCCATTGGAATTGATGAGTTGTGTAAAACGCGTTGCCCTTTTATTCCAGTTGCTGAGGAATACTGGAGAAATGAGTCAAAAACATGGGATACTTGCCGATGGTTTTGAAACCCACGGAAGTTGACGGAAATTGGATGGGATTGAGCGGCATATTGGGACAAGTGACAAGACTATCAAATTCCCCAGACCTGCAGCATCCCCTCAAAATCAATGTGGTTTCAATTCATGGTTTAGGTGACGTCTTGCAATCATAGACAGCGGTATGCCCCCCGAATTCAACTCAAAACGTCCTGAATCTGAAATATGTAATATGTTGTTCTATCAATTTGAACCACCGAACCTCCAGAATGAGCTTAATAATCTATATATTACAATTGAACTACCTTTTGAAATTACATACCAAAAACATCTACAAATTTTAACCACACAGGGACACAGGGTCTCTCGAAACTCCACAAACACAACCTCCAGACCCAACCTGCAACCACAAAATCTGTGCATCTGTACTAAAAACAAGTGCATGTCCCTAGGCATCTCAACTTTCTAGAGGAAATTGCATTGAAATCTGAAATTTGCCTTCACTATTGTTCGCGTCTTCAAAAACAACAACTTGGCTTACAAGCTATGGCAGCTATGACAAGGGTTCTGATCACACACGGTTGTCAGTGGTCAAGTAAAGGTGCTCTAGGGAGTGTACTATAGATGTTTCATCATCAGGGATTGTCTATGTTGAAGATGCAGTCTTTGCTCATGAAACATCATGAAACCGTCAAGATCTAGGATTGCTCGGGCAAAGCACAAAATGTGTGTATGGCGGTTCTCCTCTCCGGCTACTAAGGTCTTCCTCCAAGAAGTGGCGGCCACCAGCTTTTGCCACACTGAGACGTGTATCCTCCTTGATCAAATGCCCTGTGAAATACAGCAAATTTGCTTTGCAAGATGAGCTACCAAAGATAGGAAAGAGTCAACAATACTCCTTGTTTTTAGGGCTCTTTCGAGACCTTGCCACAACTGCCGCTGGCCTTGCCGCGCTTTGCATCCTGGAACGTTCCCAGCGGAACGGGCCTGGGCCGAAGCAAGCGTCTTCGGGATCAGATCGGCCCAATCACGCAGCCCGCAGGGTCACCACTCGCTCACCCAGAATCGACAGCCCCTCCAAAAATAGGGAAGAAAAAGGGAAACTGAAGCATCTGAAGAGTCAATTACACGGACGACAGCAAATTGGCGTCGAGGGCATCCGAAGACTCCTGTCGAAAGCATCCGACCTCACATTCGAAGAGATCTTCACTTCTTCTTCTGCGGGCTCGATGGGCCTTGGTGAGCACGCCAATCGATCAAGAAACTTCTGCCAAAATACAAGTTCATACGAATCCCACAGTCAACCTCTACCGCTAAAGATGCGTTGTCTGGCCATTGACCACGACAGGAATTCCACACCTGTCTACGGACGTTCAACCGTTGGACGAATCTTCCATTGCGATGCAAACGGGCAGCGCGGTATTTTGCACCTCAAAGGAGTTGAAGTATGTTGCGCATATCATCTGTCACTCCACATGAAATGGGTGGAAAGTGCATTTGACATGTGCATGGTGTCTCACAGCACTTGCACCGCCTTAAGCGATGGAATGGCGTGGTCCTCTGGCCAAGCTTCAAACGAGTGCCTTCAAAATGATACACATTCCTGCCTTCGAGATGGTAAATTTCCTCGAAAGGCGGCCAATGCCTCTCGCATTGGATCGATTGATCCTTCATCATCTCCTGCTTCAGGCAAAGACTCAAGCCCCCAGCCACAAGGAAGTGCTTCGTCAGGCACCTGAAGAAAAGCTACAGCATCAGGCTCTGGATCACCATGATGATGCCAAAGGCCAAGTCCGTGAAGAGTCCACCAAGCTTGTTGCGCGCTCAATCTCCACACCAGCTGCACCTTGCTGCAAGACCATCACACGCTGCAAAGTCACCTCTTTCATGGAGGGTCCCTCTCAGAGTCCCTCTCTGCCTCCACTGCTGAGGCACTGCGTCCGGAGGCTGCTCGTTGTCTTCTTGCAATTTGCCCGATCCGTGTTGCGAGCTTGTCCAGCTCACCATCCTTTGGAAAACACACTCCTTGGTCCTTCGGGCCCTGCAAGTACCTTGCAGGTCGGTGGAGCTTTGTCACGCTGCCATCCACGGCAAACTGGATGTCTGTTGTGCGCTGGGACAAAGTGACACCAACACCAGCTCGAAAGAGCTTCGCTTTCCTCACATCGTTTGTTGCCCTCCTTGCATGATCTCAGTGCGCATGTAGGGTCGGTGCAGAATTGCACTCTTCCGTGATTCCGTGCCCAACATGCGCAGCAAAATACTTGGCTCTCGGCGTCGCAAAAACGCCGTTGTTGAGGATGCGCCTCTTCCTCTTGAGGTGTGCGAATTGCTGGAGTCATTGGATGAATCTGGCTCTTGATCTTCTCATGAGGCTCAGTCTCCAGCTCCTTCAACGCCTTCAAAGGGCCAGTGGCCAGTGGCATAGACGTCGTCCAGCACCTCGATGACCACACCTTGCTGAGTTGCAGAACCATAGAACAGCCATGGAGCTGCCGGGATGCGTCCAAAGCCAACTTCACCTAGGTGCCCGGCTGTCCACTCCACAAACTTCTGGCCTGCCATTCTCCTGCCATACCATGCTTTCTTCAGCTGCCAGACGACATTGTCAGGAACTACAAGTCCATGCGCTTGCTCCACCCCTTTGGTGCTTCCACGTATGCCTCCTCTGGTCTTGAGGCCACTGCGAACATCTACGCTTAAACTCTCGAACGCAGTATGGAGTCATCTGGCTTCCGCCGCCTCACCCATGTGGCATCCAGAACCTTCTGACTGGCCGAGAGGAAGTCTCTCGCAAACTTCTTGCGTCCAAACTTGGGTTCCGGCTGTTCTCAAAGCGCTCCTCAGTGATGTAGGCACGTGTCTCATCAACACAGCAATCTTCATGGACTCAGAGAGCTGCTCGCGCTCTGCACCTCATAGCGGCGGATCTCCAGGAAATCGATCTCCTTGACGCTTTCCCAGGCTGGCGCAATGATCCCAGTTATGCCGGCCTCCGCCATCACGCGCATCGTTCTCACATAGGGGCTTTCAGGCTTGGAAGTTGTTGCCACTCTCCCGTAGTGCTCTACAACCTCTTGACCCGGAGTGTGGAGGGCAGAGCACGGGAAATCATGATTAACGTGCCTTCTCGTGGCGGCTGTGTCCCACGTGACAATATCGCTGTAGCGTTGCACGCCTTCAGCTGCTGTGATCAAAGCCTGGTAGCCGGGTTCCAAGAGGTTCAGGTATCCCCGAGCAACAAATGCCCATGGCAGCCAATCCTTCCTTCCCTGAGAACGATCGAAGCTTTCCAAAGGCTACAGTGTGGCACAGCCAGGTCCTTGAGCAGCTTGTAGTCCACCTTGTACTTGAGGGGTTCCAGGGTAGTGCCAAAGCCTGAGCGTGCCGCCTCTACGACGGCAAGGACTTACGCTGATTGGCACCCACGCTCATGCCACTCAAGGGCCTCACAGAGTCTGATAGGGGCTCCAGGAGCAGGACTTCCTGGATCCGGCTCCACTACCATGCAAATGGGCCGCACAGTATTTTGGACCTCAAATGGGCTGAAGTATGTTGTGCATATCATCTGTACATAGGTGACTGCAAAGGACCTATTTGGCGTTGTCAACAGTCCAGGCACTCAAAATGTAACGATAACGTGCATAATAGTCAATATCTTCCATGTGTTCAAGTTTGTGAGGCCTGTGATTCCTTTTCAATCTTGAGCTGAGAATGATGCAGTCCATCTAAGTCAATTAGGTATCGGTATACATTTGCAATCGCTTTTTGCTGTCTGCAAGTATGCCATAAAATATTTTGAGCTACCTCATGTAGAGTGGGAAACTCCTGACGGTCAATCATCTTTGCAGTTTCAGCTGAAACCTGATTCCCCAATATTTGATATAGTTTGGCGGGGCTCTGGGCTCCTGCGAAATCGCGATGCCACTTATACTGAAGACGGTTCCAGTGCTTCTTAATTTCATTGAGAGAGGTCGGCATGTGCTAGTTGTTGGTACGGACTGGGATTTTCTAGTCCATCGCAAAGTGCATGAATAAGATAAAATGCACAACAAACGCGGAATCTATGTAAATGGTCACCAATCGGTCTGGAAAGGATATGGACATATATATATATACACATAGAGAGAGAGAGAGAGAGCGTCGCGTGCTATTCATTCAAGCTTCAAGTTCAGCCCTGTTCATGGTCTGGTGACCCCTAACATGTGATGTCTGGACCACTCAGAAAACATTCAATGATGGGTCTGCTGGTGAGTCGCAACAGTGCTGGACAACTGCCCAAAATAGATCAAAAGATACAGGTATATAAATAAATGGGAAGTCCCTTTCGGAAATCTTGTGTTGAAAGCCGTGCCTACAGCATCTATTTGCGACAACACTATGTCGGATGTGAAATCAAACTGCATGTATTTACGGTCTTTAGATATGTGTATGTATAAATATATATATATACATACTTGCTTTTTTACAATTACAACTTCTAATGTCAAGTTTCCCTAAAAATCTAGGAACCAAACCATTAGTGCGAGCGCTTCTTCAGGAAAGCGTGAGCTGTCCTGCGTCCAGTTACTAGTAGCTACTTGTAGGTACTAGCTACGTAGCTACGAGCTAGCTACCGCAGCTACCTCTACCTACCTCACCTCTAGCGGCCTACCGACCCCAATAAAAGGGATTCGTCCAATGCCTCTCCCCTGAGAATCCGCTCTCTGGCTCCGCTCTCCGGCGTGGTGGCGGATCATCCCTGAGCATCGAAAAAGAGGAGACATGCATGGAGACTATAGGGGTCCCCAAAGAGGTCACAGAACCGGTTTCAAATAGGGGACCACTAGAACTTTCTTGACCTATCTGAGAAACCTCTGCGCAACCCAACAAGCCACCTGCCTTCGGAATTCAAAGGCGGAGATCTTCACATCCTCTGCTCGGGGCACCAAATGCCTCGCTCAGCCGCGGCCCCAGCGTCCGCAAAGATAGCCACTCACTATGCTTGGGAGAAATCAATTGTTTTTGATGGAAAGAATCAAGAACTGATGCCCAGCCACTTCCATGATCCTACCACCCTTCAGAAGGGCAAGACCAAATCATCCTAAAAAGAGGATGTTTGATCTTCGATTCCAAACCATAGAGGTCAAGGGTGAGCTGCAAAGTCTGCACTTCTCCCGTGGCACGAAACAAAGATATCACTAGAATCGGCTAGAAACTGCACGGGGCACCCAACCATTCTCAACTCAAATTTGGCAGAGCAACACAACGTCCACCCCCGAGTTTTTGTAAAATTAAGAGAAAGTATCAACATCTATAGTGGCCCTGAACCCATAACAGTGCCGTGAGTCCTAAGGAGGTGTTCAGAGCAAAGGAGGGCAGCAACACACCGTTCACTTCTTGTGAAAATGATGCCCATCATGATTCCTTCCATACAAGGACTTGTCTGGGGAAGAAGCCCATTCTTCAGCAAAGGCATCAGGAACCAATCTGGAAGCCTGGCGCTCTCATGACATGGAAGCAAAGGAACAATGGACTCCCAAAGCAATGCTTTCATGGAGGATGTGCTTGTATTCGAAGCATGTTTTTCCACTTCCACCGCGCGTCTTTTTGCTTGAGAGGGCCCAATTCACAGCACCGAGCTCTGGGAAGCCGGCACGTCAGGCATATTGTGTCTCGGCCTGGAATCACAACTGGAACTGCTTGGAACCTGTGAATCTGAACCTTGGAGAAGGAAAACTGTAATTAGTCCTTCAGCAAATGAGTCAAAGGAAATGGAGAAGAAGTCCAAAGCCCCGAGCTTTCATCTGACCATCTCGCTGCTTAGATCGTCTACCTCCAAAAACTGTCTTAGTCATTTTTAGTCTACATATCTTAGGATCCCACAGTCGCTCGTGCCTGGGCGAAATTCAATGCATCAATGAAAAATCACAGGTCGCAGCAAAATTGCAGCTTCAGCAAGATTGGAACTCGAAGCCTCCAAAAAATCGAATTTGATTCTGCATGGCATCTGCAAAAGATCTTCTCATTGATCTACCACCTCCCCCTGAGTCTTCAGCGTGCATCGGCACAAGGGGCCGAATTTGCAAAAGCCTAAACCTCAGAACTCATATCGCACGCGGAACACGTCCGAAAGCTTCCAGGAATGACGGCTTTGGCACATGCCAAAACGCTGAGTGTCCAGCGATACCTGGGGCATTCTTGTCGCCTGAAATGGAGGACATCTCGCTTTAGAAATTTGAAAGCTCTGAAGGCTGAAGGCTGGTATGGGGTCTGTCTCCTCAAGGTTCTTAGGGGGCCGAGGACCGCCCATGGGTTTCCTCCTTCCCTTGCTTCCTTGGTCTGGCGTATTTTGAGACACCCAGAAGGGCTGCTCTTGGTGCAGCTGATGGGCTGCGAACATCAGCAGTAATGTGGTTGACTGGGAAAGGGCCACTCAACAGAAAAGAATCCGCTGAACGCAAGGCAAGCAACTCTCTTGCACCCCATTGTTGAAATGTTTGATCAAGGAAATTAGACTTGCCAACAGCACCAGCGCGTACTGTTTTTAAACATCTTCAAGCGCCACTCCAAGTCGTGTATTGCTGTCAGTGTGACTTCTAGCAGTTGAGTTCACGGCTCACTTGCCGCGACGTGCTTGAACATGCAAACAGGGTCGAGGCATTTGCCGAACTGCGCAGGACGCAAAAGACTTGAAAGTGTGTACTAAAGCACAAGTCTCTGCCACAAAGCCTAGCATCATGTTGCTGCTTTTCACAAAGCCAACAGAAAAGCTATTCATTCCTCGCACTGCTTGCCTTCAGGAATGTGGTGCACTCTGGCATTCGATTGGGATCGAACTGATGCAAATAATCGCATTTGTCACCTCAGCAACCAACAGGAACCGACTGAACGGCTCGTAACGGCTGGGGTCGACCGGTGTCACCGGAGTCACCGGCCCGGGTCGCTGCGGTCTCTCTCGCCCAGGTCCGGCGGTGTTTTGAGCTGTGGCCTTTCGTCTGAAGTCTCATCGGATCGTCCGGTCCCCGGCCTTTCATGCAAAGGCCTCTCAGGAAATGGATGCAAACGGTCCGAGAGCCTGGGGTCACGGCGCGGAGGAGATCGGGGAGAGCTCGGTGAGTCCCCAAATTGGAGATCCCATCGTCAATTCATGTTGCAAGGCTTTAAAAAAGAATACAAATCACATATTGGTAAAAATGCATGGGGTGACAGTGAGACTACTCCAGAAAAGGATCCCCCTTGCTTCGGTGGCTTGCTACTATTCTAATCTTCCAGAACCATTTCGCGACGGGTTGGATCAGCAATCGAAGATTCAGCAAAACACTCACCACCAAAACAACCATTGGAAGGCGGCCCCAGCGGTTTTCGCAGGTCCTCCAAACATCATGATCGAAGGACTCAGGACTCCCTCAACAACCGCCGCCCGCTCCGCGCTCTAAGTGGTCCCATCCGCACCTCGATTGAGGGCACCCTCTGACGATGTAAACCCATCGGCCTAGGAGAGACGAGAGTCAAACAAACCCTCGGACAAAAAGTCATTGCACACGTCCGTGAGCAGTCACGAAATCGGATGGACCTCTCTGTCTTGGGAATTGGAGGCACCTAAGACCAACCATGAAGTCCCACGAGACCAGCCAGTTTGTTCCCCAAGATCAGCCATGTTTCGCTGTTCTGGACCTCAGACCGAACACCTCTCGGTGACCCACCCGCAGGCTCGCAGCTCGGCTCAAGTCTTTCGCATCGATTCCTTCCTGAACACGACCGGACTCGGCCGGAGCGAACACGTCGGCTTCTTAAAAGGAAGCTGGGTGATCAAGCCCAAATGCATCCAGAACATCCAAGATATGTAACACACTCGTGCGGTATGCATGAAGCACAGAATTGTGACCAACAGCTGGCCGGCTGGTTCCAATCTGGTATAGGGTCCATAGGTGGGTGCCTCGACCTTACTTCCTCAAAATCAAATCAACACCTTTGTTTGACCATGGAGTCTTGCACTGAATTCGGCCGCCTCGAAGTCAAAGTCAAGGTCCATGTCTTTGGCTGAAGGGCCTGAAAGCAGCTGTTTCACCGAAAGGCTATTCACTGACTGTCACAATGGTCATTGGGAAATCATCGGCGTTTATGATGAAACACAACCAATGCTTTGCCCCTGTGTCGCATGAAATATGCGAAGGAAGAAAGAAAGGAAGGAAGGAAGGAAGAAAGGAAGGAGGGAAGGAAAGGGAAAGGAAAACGGAAAGAGAAACGGAAAAGGCAAAGGGAAAGGAAAAGGAAAGGAAAGCAAGGAAGGCAAGGAAGGCAAGGAAGGTAGGGAGGCGGGCAGAAAAAAGATTCAAAAGGCAGACAGGTTCCAGATACGAAAGCAAGCATGCAAAAAAGCAAGCAAAGCCAAGCAAAGCCTTCACGCCGGAAGCTTTTTGAGCCGCGGAGCAGAAAGGCGTTGGCTCTTGAAAAAGAGGTCCCTTCAAGTCCAGAAAAGGGATCTTCTTCCACTTTGTTAGTACTTCAACCGATATCTCAAGGGTCCGACTTGGCTCTCCACCAAAACAAGACTGAGGTTGCTGTGGTCCTAACACCCCCCATTCTGCCAGAAGAACGAAGCAGCACACCCAGGTCTTAGGCGCGCCGAATCCTCGGTCATTCCGGCGCCCAGGACGCCGGTCATCGCTCAGCTCCGTCAAAGAGAAGCACATCCTCAAGAACTTGGCAGGCGGTCTCGATTCCGCGCTCTTTGGCCAAGAAATCACTCGCTTTCCGTGAAGCCGCTTTGAACTCTTCAAGGCATTGAAAGCACCTCAGCTTTCATCGAGGCACACGACATGGCTCTGACTGAGTCCTTTTGATGGCTTCTTAGGTCCAGGTCAATTACGAATGTTGGGAGCCGCCAGCAACAGGAACTCGGTCAGTATGGGCTACCAAAAGCCATTCCCTTCCTTTAAATATTTCATAGCTCAAGAATGGAGTATCATCGAAATCCACTGGTAACAGGATATGTAGACTACCACCCGCAAGTCCCTAGGTTTTGATCATGAGACGCATCCCTTTGAGTTCCAAGTGACTTCTCAAAGGCAGCGTCCCAGTCTTCGTCCGTGGGCGCCTCTCCACCCTCTCCGATGGTAACACAAAGCTTTTGGTTTTCTAGTTGAAAGGCCCAAAAAGGCTGATCACTCCAACTGAGAACCGGAGCAATGAGCTGAGGGGTCTTCGCCAGGATGGAATCTTGAAGAGTGCCAGCACCTCCATGATGCACCACCAGGCGACATTTGGGCAACAAGGAACTGTATGGCACAGATTTCATTCGAAAGATTTCAGAATCCTCCGGATCCAAACCTTCTCTCTCCTCGTCTGGATCCACTACAAGCACTGGCTGCGCCGCACGGCGGGCGGCCAATAGAGCACGCTGCTGAAAGGGAGCACTGCGAGCAAGGGTCATGGAACCAAAAGCAATACAAACCGGAGGAGTTTTGGCCAGGAAGTCCTCCAAGGGACCTGCCAGCGGCTCCTCCTTCGTCATTTCGCTGCCGAAGAAGCCCGTGATGAAGTGCCAAGGTTGATACTCAGCTGGTCTATTGACCAGCGTTGGGCTGAAGGCATAAAGGCATGGCTGATTTTCTTGAAGCTTCTGTCGAAAGTCTGAGTACAAAGGCACTTCCATGCCTCCGGGGATCTCCTGTGATGGTAGACCCAGCTTGGTCCGGAACTCGATGACCTTCGGGATGAAGCCTCCACGGAAGACAGCCGCCACTGTACGCAAGTTCTCAACAACGTGCTGAAACGTATTCAAAGGTCCCAAGGAAGGATAACCCGAGGGTGGGAAGCTTGCAGTAGGCACCTGGCCATCAATATCCGGGCAGAACTTCAAGGCAAAGCACAGGAGCTTGAGCTTTTCAGCCACATCCAGGCAATGGGTATTCCCCATGGAGGTGGCCACAATCAGATCGCAGTCGTGCTCTTGTGCAGCAGCAAAGATGCGTTCACCTCAAGAAGTGACACATCCAAATTAGACGTGATCCCAAGAAAGAAACACAACTGAGGAGCAGATATTTGTCTTCAAGATTGGTTAGTAAATTTGTCTTCAATCTTTTTGGTGGTGATGAACCGCGACCAGCAGCTACGAAATGAACCTTGACTTTCCCTGACATACGGTGTTGTCTTGGTGTCTATGTACATCCGTCCAAGCTCAAAGTTAATTTCAGGAAAAAAAGAGCCGTGATGCTCATCATAAGGTGAAATGCACTGCTTGAGGGCATTAAAATACCTATGTTGCTCTCATGATCTAATTCTGTATGATCCCAAATGAATCTGAAAAGGGACGCATCTCTTCTTCTTCTTCCAAGATTCCGACCATGGTCCAAGCATCTCCATACCAGCCTCGGTCCGCAAAGACCTGGTCTGCGCGCGTCTTTCCGGTGAGGTACTCCTGCCCGACAACACGCCGTGCAAGAAGAAAGGCAGGGCTCGTCTATGGGTGGTGAAACCATTCCTGACGCTAATGGGACCTTGAATGCATGAGGCGTAACTGTTGTAGAGCTACATCGACCTGTGCTCCCCGTGCCATTTCGCCTGAAAGCACCTGTTGAAACCAATGGTACGAAGGATTCCCTAAACCATGAAGCCAAAGAATAGGGCCTAGGGCATGGGCACTGGTATGGGCTTGAGAAACCTCATGAATGAGACATCTGGCCGTTGCCCTTCACGTTCACCCAACCCAGGGGCCCTCGCAACTAATTCCCTTTTTACCACAGAACGGTCCTCCGACAAGGGAACCTTGTCAATGCCACAAGATCGGAAGTCCAGGCCGAGCCTGAACAGTCTGCACGTCTGGACGTCATCAGGACTGCTTTGGCGGGAACCCGTTTAACAATAAACAAGCGGTGGGTGAGCTTGCAGTCAAAAAATCAGAAAAGAGATTCGTGTCTAAAAAAGAACAGGGTGTAGCAGAATGGCAGGAAGTCTTCGGCGGGTCAAAATGTGTCTTAGCCCTTCCGAAACAAACATGACAACCCACTTCTGTTTAAAAGCAAAGGGGATTTCCTCTTTCAGATGCTGCAAACCGTGCTCCGTCACTTGACTGCTGTCCGAAAGCGGTTGCTTGATCGGCGCTATCGCGCCATTTGAGCACCAAGGATGTTTTTCGTGGGTGATGGCGTCATTTGGCACAAGTGGCTTTGGACCAGTACCCGTTCAAATCTTATTTTCAGATGCTGCAAACCATTGGGACGGCAGGGTAGTTGGTCTCTCCAAACGTCTCATTCCCCACGTCCTGGACGGCAGCATTCCCCACATCCCCCACCGTCTTCCGCAGTCCAGTCGTCATCGAGACATCGAGCTGGGAACAGCGGACGCAGCGGACCGGAGATGGACATGGAGATGGACGCAGCCGAACCAACCCTGAATTGTACAAGGTACCATGGCTGTGTTCCTGGAGGTGAAATTCAGCATGTCCATGGTCAGGAAAAATGGCCTCTGAAATGCATAGTGTATATGTATAAGTCTTAACAAACCTGGAAGTGCAAAATCTTGGCCTACAAAACTTCCACACAAGAGTCCAAACAACTCAACGCATCAAGTCTTCACTTCTCCAAACACACAAGCCACTGGTTTGCTAGCGTTGTCTCAAGCGGTGCCTGTCCAACCAACCCGACACGGCCGACATAGCCTCTCTGCTTGTGCTTTGTATGCATCCAAAGACACCTGGGACAAGCAGAAACAAGTGCCTTTGGAGGTCGGTGACCTCAGACCCTGTCAGCTCAACCAGCTCAACCCGCCTCAACTCAAGGAATGGCTCTGAACCACCCCCCGCCGCTTCAGCACGTTTTGTGTTCAGAAAGCTTGACGTCCATCGGAGCATCCGAAGACACCTGTCCTGCGGAGTGAATTGGGCTCAACAAAACGAACGGCGCCGCCGAACGCAAAGCTTTTTGCCTGCAAGCGGCTTGATCAAGCTGCAGTGTACAGCATCATGCTAGCAACACACCACTGATTACCAGCCCTCACCAAATTCCACATTGGGAAAAGGGAGTGTTGGTGTGTTGCGCTCGAATTAGCGGTGGCTCAGCCACGGTACGCTGGCTCTGCCAGAATCGATGGTGCCACCATCTGTTTAGAGCGTGCCTTACGGCGCTCTCTCTGTCCCTTCCGAAGCTCCTTCCGCTTGTCTTCAGTGGCCTTCTCTTCGGCTGTCTCCTTCAAGCTGATGGTCTTCTTCTTGAGATACTCTTCCCACAGCAAATTGCGCATGGCCTTGGTCAGGCCGTCAGCATGCTGCCTATGCGTGGGGACCCAATACAGCTTGAACACCTCCTGCTCTAGCAGGTCCTTTGCGACCAAGAGGTCCAGCATCGTCTGACGCTCCGAAGGTACCTGCCCAGTCGTGCACATATGATCGTATAGCGATTTAGCATCTGTAACGATGCCGCCCCCGATCCGAAGGCGTGCACGCCATTCAGCTCCAACCTCAAAGACTCCATGGACCATCATGTCCACAATGAGGCGGACATAGAGGTGCCTATCAACTGCCAAGCTCAACGGGCAGGATTCCGCAGCCATTGAGCTTCTGACAACGCGGCTGCTCTTGCTGCTTGTGTAGTCCATGACTGCAGCCGGCTGTGGACCGTGGGCGACCTTCTCATTGGTCAAGAAGTGCACCGCCCCAAGCTGGGACTTTCCGTCCTTTTCACGGCCCAACGAAGCATCGAAGAATGTGACCACATAGAGTTTGCCACCGGTGCGGGGATAGGGCAAAATTGCCCGGCCCTCCTGGGCTTCCTGCTTGACTTCCTCGTAGAGACGCAGGGCTTCCTGATAATCCCCCATTGTCGCCTTGGTGGCATGTTGCGCCAGTTTGCTGACCTTGTACAGGAGTTGTGGCATGGATTGTTGTCCAGGCCACCTCAAGCGCATCACCAGTTGTCGGTATGCCGTCAGCTGCTGTGGATTCAGCGGTGTCTCTTTCTTGGCCTCTGGCTTCAAGTCTGGCAGGGATATCTTGTTGATATAGTTTGACATGTCGTCATAGAGCTCACCTTTGCACTCCTTGAGATCCACGCCCAAGAAAGTCAGTGGAATCGTCTTCCACTCCTTGATGGTGAACATGGCGTTAATGTCTTTCTTCAACTTTTGAAACCTGCCGTCCTCCTCTGAACCAAATAGGAGGCCATCATCAACATGCAAATTGAGCAGCCCCCATGCTTGGCTGTCTTCTGACGCTACAAAGCTGCTCTTGCTGATGGGCAGTTCTTGGAGAGGTGTGGACGTCAACAGTTTGCTGGCCCGCAAATACCAGAGTCGTGGGCTCTCAACCAAGCCGTAGGCTGAGCGAAGGATTTGCATGAGCTCTCCTCCTCGGACAGCCGGCTCATCATCAACTGCTGGCAACCCTTCTTCTGGAGCACGTACGTATACGTTGCGCTGCAAGTTCTCTCCAGACAAGAAGGCTGTTGTCACATCAAATGACCAGCCCTTCCAGCCGTTGCGAACCGCAATGGCTTTGGATATCCTCACAGCCTGCAAGGTAGCCGTGGGACTGTCGCTCCGGAAGTAGCCAAGGCCTGGATCTCTATGTCCTGGAACCACCAAGCGAGATTTCGCGATCAGGGGTGCCAGTGCCTTGGTCTGCTTGTTGACTCGCACCATCCTCAAGGGTGCCTTGAAGATCAAATGGCGAGGGATCTTGGCTTCCTCGTCCTTGGTCAATCGCTTCACCACATGGTTGCGGACCCATTGCTGCCATTCTTTTGCATCGGAATCACGGAACTCTTTCCTCTCTTTGTCATCGAAATATTTCGGGTCAAGTTCCTTGCCGTTCTGTTTGAGCTTCAGCAACATGACCTCTGCCAGCAAATGGTCATGCAGGTCCTCCATCCAAAGATGCTCAAAGATACGGCGCTCTTCTGAGCTCAACTTGGCCTCATAGATGCCATCCGGCAGTTGGACATAGGTGTTGTGTTCTGTCGTCGGTGATGGAGACTCCTTCAAAAAGAACGTCATTCCCCTCCAGGCGAATGGGGCTCTTCGTCGTGGATGTTGTGAAGTCTCTTCCGGGCTTTCCTCCACGATGAACACATTATCTGGCTCCTTTCCCATCAGAATGGTCACCCGTGCCCGCTTCCGTGGTGGCTTCATGAACTTCTTTCTCGGGCGCCGATGCAGACGAGCTGATGAAATGGGAAGGCCTGTGAGTTGCCGTAGCAATTCAACTTCATACCGAGTGAGCCATTCGTTCCGTGGACCTGGTGACACCGTCGATGCCAACACTTGCATAAAGAGGGCAGTACTTGGTCGTGATCTCTTGAGCGGCAGCTCCGATGTGGTTGGCGACTGCAACTTCCTCTTAATGCTGTAAGGCACATCATCCGTCAGACGTTGCCTCCTTTCCGCTGGTGGCATGTTCTCCCATCCTGGTGCCACAGCTGCAGGCCTCGATGGCTGAGATCTTGGTGGCGACTGTTCTTCTGACGTGCTTGAACTCTCGGATTCCGTTGGAATCGGCGCATTTTCTCCTGACTGCGGGACTCCTCCTGAAGATGGAGGCGCCGCTTCGGAAGGTCCTGGCTCGGCCAAAGGCAATGATGGTGGTGGCGCTGCCACAGGTGAGGAAGCATCCTCTAAGGCGAGCCTACGCCGTGTAGCTCGCTGCGCTGGTTCAGGTGGCGCTGCCACAGCTTCTGCCAAGGGAGGAGCTCCTGAATCCGGTAGTCCTGGTTGGACAGGTGGATTCAACTCTTTGCGCTTCCTGCGCAATGGAATTTGGGAAGCTCCCGGCCACTGCGTGAGAAGTCGTCGAAGGGCCTTTGTGCCTCGCAAGATGTTCTTGGCACGCAACCTTTGAGGATCCTCTGGAGGTCTCGGTTGCCGTTTCTTCCTTGGCCTTGGAGGAGGTGGCTTAGCACGAAGGTCCTGGTAGATGTTCGAGCGAGTCGGATCTCTCAATAATTCTTGAATGTCCAGGACGTCCTCCTTGACCGGCTCGGACAATGCGAGCTCTTCTGGAGTGGCGAGTCTCATATTCTCCTGAGATAACAGCAGGAGCCTGCCACGCCAGCTCACGAAGTAGCGTTTCTGCTGCTCAGGGACAAGCACAGTAGCTGGACCCCTCCATTGTCCCCGGCCGCTGGTGTAGCGTTTGAACTGCGGAACCCAGAAATAGATTCGAGCTCCTGGCACAAAAGGTCCGGGTGATGTAGGCGGCTTGCGAAGCAGGGTCCTTCGTAGTTTGTCTCTGACATCTTGTCTGATGAGAGCCACGCGGGCCGTTGTCCTCATCTTATGTGCCCGTGCCACTTCACTGTCTGTTGTCAGACCTTGTACAAAGCTCAAGCCAACGTCCTCAGAAGTGAGGCTCGGCCAGCGATGTTCTACTCCAAAAACCCGCTGGTTTGGAGTGTAGCCATCTTTCGTGATCGTGGCATTCTTGGCCATCACTGCGCACGCCAGCGCCCTCTTCATATCTTCATAGCCTGTGATGCCATGCTCGTCCACGATGGCTTGAAACATCACTCCCAACGTTGCACCGTGCCTCTCTCCAGCACCTAACTGCCATGCCGCATGTGAGCCCGTCACTCGGGATGGAATTGCGAGATCCTCCATCATGGCATGGAAAGATTGCTCGAATTCTCCGCCTTGGTCATGAGTGATCAATGACGGGCATCCGTACAAAGCGACCCAGTGCCTCAGGAATTTTCCTGCAATGTAGTCCGAGCGGCGGTTCTTGAGCATCACTGCATCATGTTTGACAGTGCCCAAATCTAAGATGCTCAAACACACATACTTCTTTTTCCGACTGTCATATAGGTACTTGAGGTCGATGTGCAAATGGACATTGAATCCAAATGGTCTTGTCGTTGCCGTTGATGGCTTCGGATGACTTGGCGGCTTGCGAGCAGCACAAACAGAGCAATGAAAACGACTTGCATACCTCAGTGCATCCTGGCTCGCCCCACCCAACTTCAGCATCCTTACCAAAGCAGCTCGAGTCGGATGCCCCAGTTGCCGGTGAGCAAATTCAACGGCTTTGCGAGTCTCTGAACTCACAGGGTGGCGTTCGTCATCCTCAGGGCCTTGCGGCTCTTGTCCATCAAAGCGCAATGTGTCATCCAACTGCGCTTCCTGCTGGCTCTTCTCCTCTTCTACAAAATCTTCACCAGTGATGAAGTCCGGGACGTTGTCATCTATCTCATAGTCCTCCGTGAAGGCTTCATTGGACTTCGCTGTGAGCCAAGACTCAGCTCCCTTCAGCAAAGCCGTGCACAAGCCCTTCGGGTAGCCACCGGCATACTCGGACAAGGATGCCCAGGTTCCATCTTTGGTCTGATAACCACCTTCAATGACATGGTGCTCATGGTCACCTGGACAAAGCTTCTCTTTTAGCTCTTGAAGTGCCTTGTCCTCGCCGGAGATGATCGTGTGCTTTCTCATAGGCATATGGTTGGTAGGATGCATCAGACCCACCTGGCATTGGTCAAACTGTACCCTTGCCAGTCCATCAAATGCCTCAGAGATTTCCGGTGTGGCCCAAGCTTTGGACCCGGCTGGATTCTCTCCAAACACCAAAGCCCCCCGGTGGCGCTGCCACAATGTTGCTTTCCGGGTAAAGGCCAGAATTGTACGGCGTGCATGAAGACGTTTTCTCTGCAGTGCCAACTTCTGAGCCTCCGTGCGAACGTTGATATTCTGAAGGGGACTCCAGGGCCCACATGGCCATGCAACCATCAACAGATCTGGCTGCACTTCCTTGATGTAGTCCATGGCCTTGTCCTGGCCCTCATAGGTGCTCACATCCCAGCCTGACTCCAGTGAGATCGGCTCCCACGCTTCCCAACAGCCTCGCTCCGTCGCTGTGATGGACAGCATGCACGACCAAGTGAAAAGCTCCAAAATCCGCCAACGGGTGCGAGGTGGTGCCTTGGGTGTCTTGGTCAATCTTGCTGCTTTGCTGGAGACCTCTAGGGCAGCGGCATCTGCGATCTGCTGGGCTGCATTCAAAAGGCGACGTCGTTGTCCCTTGGTGAGGATCTCACTGCCTTCCTCTGTGATACCTGTCGTCAAGGCATCCTCATAGTGCTCATCCTGGACGTCCGAATCCTCCTCCTCTGAATCCGAAGTGTCCGACTTCTCTGAGGGTCCGTCCTCATGGGAGGATTCTGACTGCCCTGACGAGAAAGATCCATGGCTGTCCGATTCGGAGTCGGATTGCTGCTCACGAGTCCTCAGTGGGACCTTGTGCAAAACTTGGTCAAGACCAGCAATGGCCTCGTCCTCCATGTGGCTCTGCCATAGTGCCAAATCTTCTAGTTCAGACTCTGGCTCTGCCACGGAATGAAAAGATGCATCCGACTCCTCCGACGAACTGTTGGCGTCGTGCGCCGAAGGTGACTGCTCATCCTGGCTCTGCCAGAGTGCAAGGCTGTGTGGCTCCTCTCGAAGCACCTGCCTGAGTTCTCTCAGCTCGGAAGTGTTCCAGTCATCGGCGCTGCCGGATCCAAGGACATCCAAAACAGGATGTCGGGTAGGTGACAGCTCTGTCGGGATCTGGCGGCCGTCAATGACCGTGGTGCCAGAGCCAAAGTCCATGGTCACCTTCCATCGAGCCAACTCAGACGGTCCCACCAAAGCTGGGCAGTGGGAGATCCTCGGATCATCCTTGGTGTCTTCCACCACCGCCACACGCAGCCAAGTGCGGATGCCACTCTTGCCGAGAACAACGGGGTACAAACCCGCCGAGGTGGAAAGTACTGGAGCTCCCGCACCAAACCTGAAGGTCTCTTCATGCTCCAGCACTTCGTAGGGCAACTGCATCTCGTCCAGGGACTGCTGCATCTTCTTGTGCCACCGTGCTCCTGCAACAGCCGTACGACAGCCACTGTCCAAGATGACCTTGTGAGCTGCATGCTCCAACATCCAAGTCTCCATCGGATCTTCCAGCTCATTGTCGGCTGTCAGTGCTCCGTGGTCCATGCTGTAGTAGAGCACTTTCTTCAGGTGGCAATCCCTGCACGATGCCCAGTGAGCTGCACCATTGGCCCCCCATCTCAACCTCTCGAATGGGTGGCGACAGCGATCTTGTTCAGGCGTCGTCAACTCCGAGGCCTCGGAAGGCTTGACTCGTCCCTTCCGATCGAGAGCTCCTTCATAGAGAGCTCGTCTGAACTCTTTCAACCTTTTCTTCCTCACTGGCTCCGGCAGAGTGCTCACTGACGCCGGTTCCGGAGCTGGCGTCGTCGATGAGCTGGCAGCAGTGTAGCCTTCCTTCTTCTTGTCTGGGCGTGTCACCTTCTCAGGTGTGCCCTTCTTGAACAACTGCTTGGATGCCTCCATGTCCCTCTCCTCTTTGAGCTTCTTGTAAAGCTGCTTCTTCTCTTCTTTGGACATGTAGGGCAGGATCTCCAACATCTCTGCTGCCGGAAGATCTGTCTCCATAGGTCGGGCCTTGCTCTTGGCTGCAACAGCCTTCAGCTCCTTCTCCTTTTCTTTCACCTTTTCTTTCTTCTTCTCCAGTCTTCGCTTCAGCTTGTGATCATCGTCATCTGCCTCTTCCTCCAAGGCAGCCAGCACTGTCCTCAATGCAGCCTTGTACTTCGAAGCTTTCTCTTTGGCCTGTTCAGGAGACCGGCCAGCCGTGAAAGCCAATGGTTCCTCTTCTGAACTGCTGCTGCTTGAGGAGATCACTGAGCTGGAGTCAGAGCTGTAAGCCTTGATCCGCTGCCAGCCTTCCATGAAGGTCCAATTGACCTTGTGGACCTGGAGGCCCTTTGTGCTCTTGTCTTGCGAACCCGGCTCTTCTTTGACCTGGTTGCTTCCTCTGGCCTGGGGCGAACTGTCCGTGGCAAAGTGGACCTGGGTGGAGCTCTTGGGAGTTTCTTCCCTTGGCTGATCCGTTCCGTTCTTCACGTTGGGGCACTTCGGATCGCCATGCCAATGTCCAATCTGCTTGCAAGAAGCGCACTTGGACTTGGCTTTCCTCTGGTCCTTCGAGCGATACTCCACAAAGCGACCGCCCTTCTTTCCTTTGCCCTTGGACTTGCCGTCGCTGTAGCCCCTTGCCTTGCGAGCTTCCGCTGACTTCTGCTTTGCTCGCCAGCCTGCTGCATAGGCTTCACGAAGATCCATGTCATCATCTTCCCAGCCTCCTTCGTCGTCCCACTCCCAGTAGGAGTAGTAGCCTTGGTTCCAGGCTTCTTGCTCCAGGTCCTCATCGTCTGCTTCTTCCCAGTCATCATCTTCATACAAAGCCTCTTCGGCTTCGTCTTCTTCTGGAATGCCCTCTTCATCATCATCCCAGTCCGGCTCTTCCTTCACCTCAGCCAGGTGTGCACGGGATGATCGATGCTGATGATAGCGGGAAGACCTTGACGTCGAGGAGTGCTTCCATTTGCGGGGCTGCTTGTCATGAGCCTTGTACTTGCCTTCCTCCGCATGGATGTTGGCACACCTGAAGCGAAGCACCTTCTCGATGGCCGTGGAGACATACTTGCCTCCGGCGCTGTAGAAGATGTCCATCCTCTCTTTCTTCGTGAGCGATGCCCGGCTGAGCATCCTCTGGGCGAACGACTTGTCGGAGAGCGTCGTGCCTGTGTCTTCAGCCAGATATTCGGCCCTCAACCTCTTCAGGGTGCTGATGTAGGAGGCGATGGCCTGACCAGGTGTTCGGCGATAAGTCAAATACGCCTCTTGCTTCTCTTCGAAGCGTTCATCAGCTCTTGCGCCATACGATTCTTCCAGCAATCGGAGAACTCGGTTCAAGCCTCCGGGCTCGCGCATCTCTTCGATCTGAAGTTGATTCAAGATCTGGCGCGGCTCACCCTGGCAACTGAGGTAGATGAGCATGGCCAATTCGGCATCGTCCAACCTGTAGGAGCCCTTGAACATCTCCAGCCTGACCTGACTCAAGGATGGCTTGGATCTGTCTTGCTGTTTTCGGGCCTGTTGCATCAGCATGGCCCGCAGTTCACTTGTGCCTGCAGTCGAGGCATTCGAGCTGGTCCTGTTGGAGCTCGTTGGAGAGGAAGTCCGGTTGGTCGAGGTCCGATTGGATGAGGCTCTGCCTGATGAAGGACCTGACGGACCAGAGGAGGGAGGATCTGGCGGTCGCTGCCGTGGATCTCTGGGATTCCTCCGGTATTGGCGGGGCCCCCTGCTGTCGTCCGTGTAGATGGAAGGCTCCACCGGAGGATCAGCCTCAAACTGCTCCTCCTCCTCACTCTCTTCATCTTCTTCGTACGAGTACTCTGAGAAGTACTCATAGCCATCATCTCCGCCATCTCCACCATCGTCGTCATCATCATCGTCGTCTCCGTCCGGCGGGTCCGGACCTGGTGGAGCAGGCTTTGACTTCTTGGCCGCGGGCTTTGGGATCTCATCCTTCTCCTTGCCACTAGGCCTGGCTTCCTCATCTCTCTCTTTCTTTTCCTTCTTCTCTTTCTTCTCACCGCGTCCCGGCGATGACTTGGTTCTCGCCTCCTTGGACGCCTTCTGGTCCTTGCTGTCCTTGCGCTCCTTCTTTTCTTTGTCTGCTGATCGGTCCTTTTTGACCTTGTCATCCTTCTTGTCCTTGGCGTCCTTCTTGTCCTTGACGTCCTTCTTGTCCTTGACGTCCTTCTTGTCCTTCGCCTTGTCAGCAGACTTCTCCTTGGGATTCCTCGCCACTGGAGGAGAGCGCTCAGGCTTCGTCTTCTTGTCCTTCTTCACCGTTCGAGCTGCTCCATCGGGGTGTTCCAGCGTCGATGCTCGAGGTGATGGAGGCGTTGCATGAGCTCCTGTGGGCTGGCTTGTAGTCGGATCACCTTCCTGGCGAGGAAGATACCAGGAACCATCCATGGATGTCGAAGGCTCATACGACAGCCATTGAAACCCAGTCCAGAACATCCAGATGCCTGTCGTTGGTGATCTATACCAGCCTGGCACTTGTTGGGACCATCCTGCACGAAAGGTCTGGTCCGCCGTGTAGGTCGTGTGACCTTTGCCCGAGCTCGCCTCTGCCTTGCTGCCTCCTTTGTGGGTCTTGCCCTTGCCCTTGGTCGCGTCGTCATGAGCGTGAGGGTTGGCTCGTCCTCGACCGCGACCTCTTCCACGTTGGCGAGAGCGTCCTCGCTCCTCGTCTTCATGCGTGGCTCTGCCACGATCCCTGGCGCGGCCAGGTGCCGAGGCTCGGCCTCGGTGCGGCTCCTGAGGCGGTCCGGTGGCGCCACCACCAGGGGACTCCGCCCCGTCCCATGTGGGCACCGGGATGGCTTCGGCCGACGAGTCAGCCATCCGGTCCCAAGGCCCAGGTGTCAGGGCCGCCCTCTCTTTCGAGGGCTCCGCTACCAATGCGGAGTGAATTGGGCTCAACAAAACGAACGGCGCCGCCGAACGCAAAGCTTTTTGCTTGCAAGCGGCTTGATCAAGCTGCAGTGTACAGCATCATGCTAGCAACACACCACTGATTACCAGCCCTCACCAAATTCCACAGCTTGACGTCCATCGGAGCATCCGAAGACACCTGTCCAACATCTTCACTCATGGGGACACCTTTGGTTTGGATGGATCCTTTCAAGGCCTCTTGGACCTTGGTGAAATGGACAGCACCCTTCGGAGGCACCCACCCACTCACCATCACTCACCCTTCTTCCCCGTCATCACGGATCAAGTGGATTAGACCAAAGTCACCACCAGAGGCAAATGCCCACGATCTCGCAGCGCTGCGGCCAAGCGAAAACCGGGCTCGGCCTGAGACGCGACACCACCGGGCCACGACGTCTGCGACGTCGCACGGCCTGCGGTTTGACCCCGAAGACCCGGAGACCACAGATCCCACACCCCCAGTGGCTTCCTGATCCAGTGGAGGGTGTCTACTCGGTACTTGGGACAAGCCTCTTGGTCCATGAGTTCGTCGGATTTCCGGTTGGTTTCCGGCTTCTCCTGCTGTTGCCTTGTTGCAAACTGCTTCTATGAAAGATGCCTCTGCCCACAAAAGAAGAGCTGCTCATAAAGATCCCTTTCCGCTCGTCAAACAGGGAGAAAGGTGGGTTCTCCCATGACCTGGGTATTTCAATCAATTTCACCTCCTGCTTCTCCCGAACATGAACACCACGATCACCTTGCCCAACCTTTATGGGTGACCAAACAGGCGAGGTCGTCTAGCTTTCTACAGCTGACAGCCACTAGGAATCGACAAACGATCCGAATAATAACGGAAATTAATGACATTTGGAGCCAAAGGAGTCATGCCAGGGAGGACGAACACGACTGCCCAGGCAAGCGACAAATGTATAGTATTGAGGCACCCCCCCCGCAAAAGCATAAAAGACAACATGACCCACCAAGACCCACCAGGTCCCCGAAGGTCCTAAAGCCACCGGGCCACATCACCTCTCGTGCCCATGGCGACAATCAGTGGCCGTAAGACTTCACCGGAGCTCATCAGCTCCTGCAAGGTCTCTGCACCAAGCCTCGGCAACCCGGCCCGACCACACGCCTCCGAGGACACACACAGCACTGGCTCTTCGACACAAGTCCCAAGCAGAGTTTGCTTCAAGTGAAGTCCATCATCGACTCTAATAGCTTCCGACTTGCAGGAGAAGGATGGATCAGGATCCTCCAGGTCAACCCTTGAAGACTGGGAAGCTCGGAGAACGGGCCACCAGGGCCCCCAAGGCCTATACATGCCTCTTCCCTGATTGCAGTGCACGTGGAAGCGACCTTCCGCTGGGACCTTCCGGTTTGGTGTGGTGCGACTTCCCTCACCCTGCCTTCTCTCCTTCCAGCCACAAAGCTCTCTCTCTCTCTCTCTGTTTTTTATCTCTTTTCTCTGACCATGAAACACCAAGGAACGCAGCTTCTACTCCCTTTTTGGCCGCCGCAAAACATCGAGTGTAGCCGCTGCCAGCAACTCCCAAAGCAAGGCCAAGGCCGACAAACCTGCACCTGGGATCGGAAAACAAAAAAATCCAAACAAATAAACCAAAGCCAAGGCCACAAATTAGAACAAACCAAAGGCCAAAAAAACACAATAACAAACCAAAACCAACCGAAACAGAAAAAAATACCCAAAAGCAAGCAAACCAACCCCAAAGTTACAACCCACGCAAAACAAACGGGCAACAAAACAATGACACCAACAAACAACGTGACAAAGAAACTAAGCCAGCAAGCAAATAGCAAGAGATAACAAAATTAAGGCTACAGTCTTATGATGAGCACACACTCACATCCTCGTGTGCTGATTCGAATTCTTCGTCGTCATGCGCGCGCTCATACGCATGCTCCTGTGTGTTTAGGTGTGTGTGTGTGCCCCTTGTAGTCACAGGGTTTCGTTTGAATTGTTTTTCATTAGCAGGGGGGCAATGATCACTTTGGAAGGCATTGCCCAACGAAGACCCCTCCATCGTGTTGTGATATTCCTGAGGGACGCCTCGGGAACGTACCTGCAACAATTTTTAAAGTTTGCGGCAGTCACGCACGGAACGCCGTCGCTTCGACCTGCTCGCCGACCTCGACCTTGTGCTTTGGGCCTCCTTTCCTTTTCAGACCTCCAGGATTCGATGGCTTCCTACTGGTACTCTTAGGAAATGGAACCCTAGGCCGGCGTGTGGCACCGCTTTCAGTTCCGTACGCATATCCATAAGAGTGCTTGGCCTCGTGCCAACCCGGGATGAGCCCGCAGAGCGCTTCCCGTGGACCCGTCGAACGGGGGTTTGTCGTTATCTCCCCTGCCCGGAGATGTAAGTGCCCACAGCGGGCGAAGGTGGCCTAGGCCGAGAGAACTCAGATTTTGTCTCATTTTGGAATTCCAAGTTGGCTTATGCCTTTACGTGACCGCAGCGGTCTAAGCAGCCAGCCATATTGGCACGGCGTACGTGGCCGCAGCGGCCGAAGCTTGTTCCAGGTTCATTGGAACCTGTCCCAACCTCAGGTGCACACACAGCGTTCACACTCAAACGAGGCAGGTCCCTAGGCTCTTTTCTTTCATGTCCTCCTGTCTTCATGTCTGTTCATCTCATCCTTTTCTTCGGTTGCGTGCACATTGGTCCCGGCCTTAGTGTGTGCGCGCACTTCTACATACCTTTAAACACAGGTTTTAGGTCGCCCAGGTCTTTACAATGAGGTGGGCTTCATTGGGTGTCCCTGTGCACTTGGTTCCCCTTTCATTTCAACCACACGCACCTTTGTCCCGTCTCGTCCTCCTGTCATGTCTTCATTCTTTTGTCTTGCGCGCGCGCACGTGCGCATAGGCCCTCACCTTAGCTTTACGCCTCCCCTCGGGGAGGCGTGTGTGTGTGTGTGTGCCCCTTGTAGTCACAGGGTCGTTTGAATTGTTTTTCATTAGCAGGGGGGCAATGAACACTTTGGAAGGCATTGCCCAACGAAGACCCTTCCATCGTGTTGCGATATTCCTGAGGGACGCCTCGGGAACGTACCTGCAACAATTTTTAAAGTTTGCTGCAGTCACGCACGGAACGCCGTCACTTCGACCTGCTCGCCGACGTGCTTTGGGCCTCCTTTCCTTTTAAGACCTCCAGGATTCGATGGCTTCCTACTGGTACTCTTAGGAAATAGAACCCTAGGCCGGCGTGTGGCACCGCTTTCAGTTCCGTACGCATATCCATAAGTGTGCGCGTGCCCCTTGAAGTCACAGGGATCCATTCGGATTGCGCTGATTTCTTTTGGATTTTCAGCAGGCGGCAGGAGCACCATTGCAAGTCTCCTGCCAACGAAGACACTTGCAACTGGTGGTGATACCAGACCTGATCAGTCCGGCGCACCTGCAGTTTTACCAGAGTCAATTCCTCAGGGGCCCTGCTTGTAACTAGAACCAGAATTCCAGCCATCGCATCGGCTTGCATCGGCAGATGCGCATTGTCGCTTTGGATTTGTCGATTTGGAGTTGGAGGCTGTGCAGGTTTTAAGGAAGTTTGGACCACCGTGCTTACCCCTGTCCTGGTTTCTTAGTTTTTTCACTTAGGCTAGCGTGTGGCGCCGCATTCACATCAGTATGCATTTCTATAAGTGTGTCTGGCTTCATGCCAGCCCAGGGTGGCCCCGCAGAGTGGCCCCTGTGGAACCGTCGAACGGGGGTGCCAATGCCGTCGAAACACACGTGCCCAGAGCGGGCGTAGCAGGCTTATGCCAAATTATTGCATTCCAAGCTGGCTCATGCCTTTACGTGACCGCAGCGGTCTAAGCAGCCAGCCGCTTTGGCAGGGCACAACATAACCACAGCGCGGTCAAAGTATTTTCTAGGTTCGTTGGAACTTGTCGGAGCCTTAGAGTGATGAGTTCCACATTAGTCTCTGGATGGCCCTGCCCTCCTCCGGCGATTCACGAGGTTCCCTATACTTGCACCCTGGAAGACCTTGTTCTGTACTACGTGAACTCCAAGCGCCTCCGCCCCATCGGGTACATCCACGAATTTTCACGCGAGGGAACCCCTTTTCCTTACCGTCCCCCGCATACTATTGCACCTCGTCTACATGATGATGCTGTTGGGCAACTCAGACTTCTGCTGACGGCCTACCAGACCTTTCGCGAGATTCACCGTTTCTCTGAGGGTTCTTTCAATCTATCCCACCATCGTCCGGAGCTTAGGAAAAAGGAACGCCTCCCTTCGGGGAGGCGTGTGCGTGTGCCCCTTGAAGTCACAGGGATCCATTCGGATTGCGCTGATTTCTGTTAGATTTTCAGCAGGGGGCAGGAGCACCATTGCAAGTCTCCTGCCAACGAAGACACTTGCAACTGGCGACGATACCAGACCTGATCAGTCTGGCGTACCTGCAGTTTTACGACTCAATTCCTCACGGGCCCTGCTTGTAACTAGAACAAGGATTCCAGCCATCGCATCGGTTTGCATCGGCAGATGTGCATTGTCGCTTTGGATTTGTCGATTTGGAGTTGGAGGCTGTGCAGGTTTTAAGGAAGTTTGGACCACCGTACTTACCCCTGTCCTGGCTTCTTAGGTTTTTCACTTAGGCTGGCGTGTGGCGCCGCATCCACATCAGCGCGCATTTCTATAAGTGTGCGCTTTGTGGGCTCCTATACAGCACCTGTTCCCTGTGTATGTGTATGTGAGTGCTCTGATGGGTGTCCAACCAAATATATGTTTACAAACAGTATTTATATATTGTAAGTATCCCCTTCAGCAAATCTTGGGGGTCTTCAGCCATGGTAAAGACCTCGGAGCAGGTTCCGGACGGAGTAAGGCTTCGGAGCAAGTTCCGGACGGAGTAAGGCTTTGGAGCAGGTTCCGGAGTAAGTTCCCAAGCAGGTTCCGGAAGGTTCTAGAACAGGTTCTGGGGAGCAGGTTCTAGAGCAGGTTCTGGAGCAGGTTCTGGAGCAAGTTCCGGGGCACGCTCCTGAGTGGGCTCCAGAGCAAGTTCCGGACAAATTCTGGAGCAGGTTGCAGAGGAGGTTCCGGAGTTTGGGACCAGTTTGCCACAAGTTCCAGAGGGCTTTGCAAATATATGACGGCAAATAATCCTGACACCTCATGACGCTGGCCTGTTGTCAGACATGTTGACATGCCGTCAGGCTACCATCCGGTCTTTGCTAAGCCTTGCTAACCTGCTATAAAAACTTTATATTTCTGACACGCTAAGATGTTGCCACGCCGATGAGCTGACATGCAAGGCCGGTTCCGGAAGAGGCTCCTCGATTTTGGTTTGTTGCAGGGTTAGTGTTGTCATACTTGCACATGTCTGGGCACATATAGAGGCGCTGACGTATTGTCGTATTAATATTTCCGCAGGGCACCACGGCACCACATTGAAAAGGTTCACACAATTGAAAACAGCAGTGTCTAACAAGCAAACTGCCAAATGTGTGCCCAGCTGTTGAAATTTTCTTGGGCATATTCATTTATATAGATGTGTGTATATATCCTCCGATGTGCTGATTTGTGTCGTCATGTGTGTGTGTGTAACCCTTGGAATCATAGGGATCCTTTTGGATTTGTTCGGTTTGCCTTTTTCAAAGCAGGGGGTCCAGGCAGTTGCGAGTTGTCCCTGGACCAACGAAGACGGACTCACAACTGGTGAAGCGAGAAGGGACGCCTTCTTGTGTACCTGCAATTTTCCATTTTTCGAATGGCGAGAGGCTAAGCCAAGAACCTCACGACACGGTGTTGCTTAGGGATTTGGTTCACTTTCTGCAGATGCGCACGAGCCGCCGTCACCCTGTTCGACTCGCTCACCGTCTTCGACCTTGAGCTTTTGGCCTCACTTCTTCTTACAGACCTCCAGGTTCTTTAGGACTTTCCTGGACCTTTCAGGATTTGGGTCTCTTAGGCTGGCGTGTGGCGCCGCAATCAAGTCAGTACGCATATCCATGAGTGTGTTTGGCTTCGTGCCAACCCGGGATGAGCCCGTAGAGTGCCTCCCGTGGACCCGTCGAACGGGTGTACGTCGTTATCTCCTCTGCCCGGAGATGTAGATGCCCAGAGCGGGCGAAGGTGGCCTAGGCCGTACGTACGATGATTTTCGTCCCATCTTTGGAATTCTAAGTTGGCCTATGCCTTTACGTGACCGCAGCGGTCAGAGGTGGCAGCCCTCTGGCAAGCCGTACGTGGTAGCCGTACGTGGTCGCAGCGACCAAAGCTTGTTCAAGGTTCTTTGGAACCTGTCGCGAGCTTAGTCCCCCCTCCTCCCCCTTCCCTTCCCCTTTCTTTCTTTGCTTTCTGGGGTTTTCCTGAATGGAATACTCAGGATCTCCCCTCTCTTTCTTTGGTGTGTCCCTGGACGATTGTTCGTAGCTGGGAACACCTCCCTTTCTCTCCTCTCCCTCTCTCTCCCTCTCTCTTTCTTTCCTTCTCTCTTCCCTCTCTTTTCCCTCTTCCTTGGGTGTCCCTGGATGCTTTCGTCATAGCTGGGAACCCTTTTCCTTTTTTTGTTTGGTGTGTCCCTGGACGCTTGTGTCGTAGCTGGGAACACCTTCCTCCCCTTTCCTTTCTTCTCTTTCTTTTTCTCTTCTCTCCCTACCCCTCCCTCCTGTCAGGACCTTAGTGTGGGTTGCTACTAGGGGCTCCTGGCCTTCTTACTAGGACGCTCCTTTGGTGCTTCTAGGGGTTCCTGGCCCACTAGGCGCAAGGACGCTCTAGGGCAGAGATGCCTCCCCTCGGGGAGGCGTGTGTGTGTGTGTAACCCTTGGAATCACAGAGATCCGTCGATTTACTTAGTCTCACTCCACTTTTGGCGCGGAGCTTAAAATCTTGCCTCCCTTCGGGGAGGCGTGTGTGTGTGTAACCCTTGGAATCATAGGGATCCTTTTGGATTTGTTCGGTTTGCCTTTTTGAAAGCAGGGGGTCCAGGCAGTTGTGAGTTGTCCCTGGACCAACGAAGACGGACTCACAACTGGTGAAGCGAGAAGGGACGCCTTCTTGTGTACCTGCAATTTTCCATTTTTCGAATGGCGAGAGGCTAAGCCAAGAACCTCACGACACGGTGTTGCTTAGGGATTTGGTTCACTTTCTGCAGATGTGCACGAGCCGCCGTCACCCTGTTCGACTCGCTCGCCGTCTTCGACCTTGAGCTTTTGGCCTCACTTCTTCTTACAGACCTCCAGGTTCTTTAGGACTTTCCTGGACCTTTCAGGATTTGGGTCTCTTAGGCTGGCGTGTGGCACCGCAATCAAGTCAGTACGCATATCCATGAGTGTGTGTGGGCTCACCTGTGCACGCAGTATGTGCAATCAGTGCTCGCCTGTGGTGTGCTCTCTGTGTGCCCTCATACATGTGTTCGTATGTGTGGGATATGGGACATGTCTACAGTCCTGTGTGCCGTGATATCTGTACTTTCATATGTGTCGGCAGATGTGCTCTGGTGTGCTACATCTCCAATCGGAAGCCCACCAATCGGATGTGACTTGATGTACTGCCAGTGTGGATGCGAACTGAAGCTGCATTACTCTCTACATCGCCTTCTAGCTGCACCTTCCAATGGAAATAGTCTAGAATGCTATGGCATCCGCGTATATATTTTGTACTGTATATATATATATACCCAAAGCATGTCACGATGCATGTCTCTCTTCCGTTTGCCATCTTAACCAATTGCATATCCTATCATTACTTTGTCCCACACCTCCAAGGTTCACCCTCCATGGGCGATCTTCAGCAGACCCTGCCCCCCGCAACTCCGGCCCAGCGACATCTCCCTCTGCGCCCAGCCTGGCGTCAATCGGTCGGACGGAGTCTTTTTTTCGGGGCCGCAGTGCCCTCAGAACATGGAAATCCCAAGTGGATTGGAGGGGTGCCCAAGTTTTCTAGCCCAAGATACACCTGGTGCCCTTCACCTCACGGAAGTCTGCAAGAACACCTGCCCTTTCTCCTTTCTCCTTTCTAGGTTTGTCCGCACGCCTTCCGTCCGCGGAGCACGTTGCGATCGACGTGGGCGGTCCACGGCGCAGAGTGCACGACGAGCGCCAGCTGGTCCAAGTCGAAAAGCCTGGTGTCCACGAGCGAAGACCAGGACGAGGACGCGCGTGTGACAAGGACCAGCAGGACACAAGCAGAGCAAGACAAGCAAAACAAGCAGGATCTCAACACGTGTTTCGGAAGAACTGTGCGTGTTGAGCGAAGACGCAAGCTTCCAGGAGTGGATCAGTCTTCCGAAGACGCAAGATCGTTGCTGGGCGCTGGCAGTTTCTCTGGGTCCCGAAATCCACAGGAGCGAATGAAGCTCTCACAAAACTACAGACACCTTTGCCGTCTAAAGAAAACACACACACACACAAGAGGCACTCCGCCTGGTCTTGAGATGGTCCACAGATGCATATGCTGCATAGCACTGCAAGAAGCGTGACGCTGCCAGGTACATTCGCCCCCCGGAACCGTGCGCGGTGCATCCCCATGGCGCAAGATGAGACCCTAGATGGAAAGGTCCGGCATTCACGAAAGGAAACAGTGTTCAGACCTCAGTCAAATCGATCAAAATACACATCAAAAGTGAGAAACATCTTCTCTTGTTGAAGAACCGGTCTCGTAGGTGTGCTGACCATTGCTGCCAAACCATCTTCGCATCACTTAAAAACTTGAATCAGTGCGACCTCAGTCTGTTGCAGCTTCCCACATGCAATCGTCAACAAAACATCCAACACATCCAAGATCCGCCTCTGGGGTCCAAGTAGGCCATCAAAAGAGGAGGTTTTAGATGTGAAAATGAAAAGAATCCATTCGATGTCGCAGCTCTTTTCGCAGCTCCTTTTGAGTGAAATTCCCGAACATTCGAACCATTCGAGCAGTCGCGCATCTTGTACCATCCAGGAAGCCTCGAAGCTGTGTCTGCGCGCGCTGTAAACGAGGAGCCGAGCCAAAACCCTGTGGGGTACATATCAGTAAGTTCTTGCAATGACTAGATTCACTTCCATAGGGACTTCCAAAGTTTCTTCATCCTTCTTGGAGGAGACTGCGTCGTCCAACTGGTCTTTCACTGAACTCAATGGCCCAAGTTCTGGCTTCAGCGGGAGTGACTCGAGCTCGAGACATCTGCGGCCCAACGAGACGAGTGTCCGGCTGCGTGGAAAATGCCGGCGACGGCACCCGGAGGCGCCCGGTGTGAGTTGGTGTCTGCACAGGTCCTATGCGCCGTCCAATACAACCAGAAACCACGGATTGGGAATGGGAAAAATCGATGAATGATGAAAGCCCCATTGGTGCTTAACGGCCTCGATGTCCACCTGTATCAAAGTCTTGCCCAACTCTTCGAGAGGTTTTCCACACACTGTGCTGGCCGTGTGCCAGTCCTCTCTCACACACACGCACTCAGATCTCAAGGCAGATGTTCATGACTCCTTTCGCTTCCAGTGACAAAAAGATTCGGAAATGCTGAGCACAAATCGAGTTATGCAGAGGGCTACCGTGGATCTGTCTTGAGGTTCGTCTCGGTATCGGTAGACTGGACAGAAGAAGCAATTACTTCTTCTTCTCATCTCTGCTATGGCCATTCTCCGCAATTGCCTCGGGGGGCCAAAAAAACACGACTATCCATGATGATGAAAGAAGTGAGGTCAATACCAAGAGTCACTGCCCGCACTAGTTTCATGGTTTCAGTTTCAGCCCGAAAGCAACCGACATGTCTCTTTTTTCCAAGATACTGAGGGCACAATCATCCGAGGAAGGATTGTAGCCGAAAAAGCCAATGCTGTCGCAGGGAACCAAGCAGCTAGGCATCCATACTTTTTTTGTGTCTTCCTCAGCAACCAACCGAGCATATTCCATGTAAGTCACAGAAAAAAACAACAGTAGTAACCAGCAGCTACGAACGGGGCTCATCGCTCAGAACTGAGCCTTCGGACACGAACGGGGCGACCCTGGCCGTCCGAACGGAGCAGATCGGACACAACAGTGCTCTGAGGTCCGGAGCACGTCTCGTTGCTGTTTGCCATCCGAGACGGCCAGGTTCGCTTTGGGTTGGACTCGGATCCCACCGTTCCGTTGGATCCCAGATCCCCCTCCACTGTGCAAGACCAGCATCCCTGCAAGAAGACCACCAAGAACCATTCCTGCGGATGGCGAAAGGGGAGGGAGCTCTGCCAAAGACAAAAACAGGAAGACTCACTTCTTTACATGGGTCCTGGTCAAAAGGAGGAGACCATCCAAACCCACTGGAATAAAAGAAGTCTCCCAATAAGCCACATCCATATGGGTCTAATTCAAGTACATGTTCAGGCGATCGGCTTACTAGCTATTATCTGTTGTTTGGGGGTTCTCTTCAGAAGTTTGTCCCACCATGTCTGAAAAAGAACACGCAACGTTGTGACCTCATGCGGTCGTCATTCGTCCGGTCAGTCATTCGTCCGGTCACACGGAGTCACCCACGTTTTGTTCAAGATCCACGGAACCAGCCATGCAGAAAGGACGATTCCTTTTTGTCTGCCCATTTTTTCGAAAAAAAGAAGCTTCGAAAGAAAAAAGAACAGTCTCGAAAAAAAAAAAAAAAAAAAAAAAAAAAAAAAAAAAACTATAATGACTTTTGCAAAAATTAAAAATTGAGGCGGTTGTTTTTTCTGCTGCCTGTTTTTGAAGGCGTTCACTTCTGAATTTGTGGTAGAACATGTATTTTGGATTGGGCCCCGGAGTTGCTTCCAGACTGGTCAGGATCCACTGTTCCTGGGATGTGGTCGTAACCAAAAAGACTGGGTGACTGTCTCCATCGACCTTCCCTCAGATGGTCAAGGCGCGTCTCTGCTAGGGAATCTACAACTCCAATGAGCTGTCTGAAAAAACGAATCGTCTTCAGTCCTGCACAACACACGGCGTTCAAATAGACCTTTCGTTGGCAAGGTACAGGCTCGCCCTTGAGAAAGTTCACAAACGCCTGCAGCGTGGGCGGGCCAAGATGCCGCACCCACGGACTGCGAGGGCGATGCCGTGGTCGTTTCGTTTCGGGTTCAAGCCATTTCGGGCGACCTCGGGCCATGGCAACTGCTACGGCCCCGCAAGCACAAGTACTAGCAAGATTTGATGCTAGTTCCACCCTTCAGTGGCTTGTGAGGAATCGTGGTGAAGAAACCAAGCACAGTCGCTGGTTCTTGCCACCAAAACATCCATTTTGGTACGAGGGTACTAAATTAGATGCTTTGTATGATTCTGTCTTTGTGCACCCCAAGGTCTTTGAGACCCCAACCAAGGTTGGTGGTTGAGGTTCCCAGAAATTTTCAAGAGGACCAACAATCAATTGAGGTGCAGAACAAAGTGCCTCTCTTCAGCTTTGCCACAAAACAATAGACAAACCCTGAATGTAGGCTGTTGATTAATGAAACCCCCATCTCTGGAGTTGTAAAACCATTGGTGGGGGGGCTCTTGATCAACAGTCAACATGAACTTTCCGTTGTGAACCTGCGACCGGCTGGGCCTTTCCCAGGCTCATGGCCGCATCAGTCTGACCTCCGGCAGTATGAGTAGCTCGCATGGGCACGGCGCTAAAGCTGCTGGACGTGGCATTCCTTGGCAAGACCCGGAGGCATGAGCAGTCCGAATGAATTGGGTTCCAAATCGGTCCGAAGACTTCGGATTTTCCTGGGGATTTGGGGGGTTCTCTTCAGTATCTTCCACAAAAGCTGAAACTTTCAAGTACGGAAGGTGTTTCACCTCCCCGACGTGTCATCGAAAGCCTCCGTCAAGCTTCATGAGCCCTTGCGACAAAGCCCAGATTTGCATGGCAAGGGTAGGTCGCTCTCGATGCCTCTTCAACCAGATTCCAATCAGGATCATGATAGAGGACAACAGCATTCCTGGCCACCACTCACTAGCAAGAAATGTGTTTCACACAGCAAGCCCTACAAACAAATTGAAACCATGTCCTGGTGAAGTCTTTCCTTCAAATACCAGGTCACCATCACAGGTCTTTGGAAACATTCCAGCGAGCAAGCCTCACAGACAAACAGCAAGCTCCATGAAGCCTAAAATGTCTTCTCCATGGCCTAAAGCCTAGAGAGTCAAATCCACGTTCGGTTTCGCCACCTCAGGAACCCGCACCCTGGGACGGTAGCCCTTGCTTTGTGAAGCCACGACCTGTCCCACGCCTCCAGCATAGTAGAGCGTGCACATCGCTAGAACCTTGGAGCCTTGCTTCGCATCTCCCGCCGCATAGAACCGACCTGAAGTCGGACGGGAACAAGGACAGCGGTGAGAGCGGTGACCTGGATCGGTCACAGAATATTCACAGGACCAGTTCTATTATGATCTATTATGCCACCAGAATATTCAGGAAAAAAAATCTATTATGATCTATGCATAATGCTGTTCTTGAACATCCAGAGTTTTAACAACCGTAGACCCCAGATCTAGTAATCCAGTGAAAACAAATCAGCGGTTTTTAGTTAATAACCGTAGATCACAATTCCTTGCGGTTTCACTGCTTCATCAGAGTTCTAACAACCGCAGTGCATGAAATTCAACCGCTTTTGAGCGTTCTTCCACACCATCTCGGCCGCAACATGCCATCAAGGCCGCACCTGCGTTGACGCACCCCCCAGAGGTATAGCCAACGGGTGTGGTCAGCTCAACCACCGCAATACCTCCGGTCTTGCGCAGCACACGCAAGCTGTGCACAAGACTGGCCTGAGATGCTGACCGTTGATCATTCCGGAGATAATGGTATACAAGCCTGCAGCACTGCAAGGAAGAATTTCAAAGCAACATTCAATTTAGTCAACTTTGGCAAAAACCTTCACGAAATCATGAAAGTCAAACTTTCTGTGCCTGCAACTCCCAGGATCTTCAGAAAATCCGGCCGCTTGTCCAGCGGCATACGCTGATACAAAGATGAAGTCATGATGCAAAACACCAGGACAGCACTGAATGTGCTTGAACAACACAGCTCAAGAAGAATCAAGAAAAACATGTTTTCATGTGTGAGTTCACCGTTACATAGACTCGTCACTCGGGTGTAACAACATACAGCAAAAAAATCATTGTTTGCATCTTGCATGTTTTATCAATGAAGAATGTAGCATTGCCAGAACTGTGGCCATTGCCTCCAATTGAAGGCAGCGTCTCAGCTTTTAAGAATCCTGGATGGCAACCCCACTCGATTCGGCTGTTCGATCACCTCGTGTCTGCGTGTTCGTTGCAAGTTCTCCAATCTAGGATCCACACCCATAGTTGAATGCCATGGCACAGTGAACAAAGCCACCGCCTAATGATGTCTGTATTGACGCCGCAGCTCCAACTTTTGGCAACCTACTCTTTCAGATACGGGGATGTGACCTGGCACACCATCACCAATTGGTCTTGAATTTGTGTTCAAGTTGTTGCAACTCTCAGGACTGGAGCAACATCACAATTGAGCCAAACTTGGAAAATGACATGTTATGTTGGAAAACTGTTTCCGTCGTTTTTTCATGCACAC